CAAAAAATGTTTCTAAGCATTAATTTATACATTTTTTTTCTTTTGCTGACTTGACTTTTGGGGCAATCTTTATTTTATAAATGTATTCTGGAACCATGGTCTCACTAAAATTTTCGCTCGATGGCATTGTTTTCTTTTTTTTTTTTTTTCGTTTCGCGGATGAAGGAGTTCCTACACCAGTAAGGTGCTTTACGGCGGCAGCTGCTAGTGGCCCGTTTCCCGATTTTTCAACGACGTGAGCGCAAACGCCGTCTGTTTCTCCGCTAACTTTAGCGGAAACTTTTACAACGCGTGACGAAGGCACCAACTCAGTTTCCTCTCTAAATTTGGCGGTAAACTTTATATCACGTGACATGACGTCACGGGATCTACGGTATTCTGCTCCCTACAGTTATTTCTTTTTTTGTTTCAGTTTCGATGGTGTCAAAAAACTACCACTCTGTAAGAAGCGCATATTTGAGTAAGAGTATGCGAAGAGAAAGTCGTCTGCTTCTAGCGCAGGAGTTGCGGTGACGTCAGTACAACGCCGAGCTCTGATTGGTCTTGATTGAAAACATTGTGGGTAGACCTCAATTCCAGATGCCTTGAGGTCTATCCACTATTTTCTTTCAATCAGCCAATAAGAGAAGGAGACAAACTTCCGCTCCGCATACTGTATCTCCCGAATGTCCGCAGTAAAGTCAAAGGCACAGGCGCGTAAGCTTAGCTGAGCAGAATGCTTTTGTTTGTACGAGAGCTTGCCGATAAGAGGCCCTTTCCAAAGCCACGCGCTCGTTCCCATGCCTTTGCTTGCACTACAGATGTTTGTGAGCTGGAGTATATTGATACAATGAACCACTCTTTATTGCTATGCGTTGTCTGGGGCGCGCTAAACCCGAGCGTTCGAAGTGTTCACATGACAACCTCAAATTCGTAGTGCTTAGAAGCTAAGTCTCGTCACGATGACATCGAACAACAGCGGAACTAACGTCTGGAATGTGGACTCTGCATCGGTGCCTGTCTTCAAATTGTTCACCAACCTTCAAGGTCGCCTTTAGCATGTACAGAGGATATCCCTGTCAGACTGGCAACTAAATGTCAGTTCCGTCGAACGACATTTGTGTGATCGGCGAATCAGCTCGCGATCTGTCGCGCGCTGATTGGCCGATCGTTCAAATTACATTTGATGGAACTGACATTTAATTGCCTGACGGGGGTTTACTACTCCGTTCGCCCTTAAGATGGGACTAGAACCTCTATTTTCAGAGCGAGCTCGATGGCTTTCGCGGTGCTTTGGTTGCGCGTGCCTGCGCGTTCACGCTTGTGTTAAGGCCCGTTCACACTTTTGCGACCGAGTACGACTGAGAGAGACGAGATCTCTTAAAACTTCTTAAATGTTTTTAGAATGAGGGAACACACTTGCATTGTGGCGCCATCTATGCGGTGACCCTGGAACTGCATTTCACAAGAGCGAAGGTTTTGCGGGATTTCCGAGGTCAAATGTGCGTAATACCCATCGAAAGGCTCGTTTATAACATTTGCAAAAGTTTTTCGAGCCAAGAAAGAAAGGATAATGCGCGAGAAATAAAAAAAAATATGCCGGACCGCCGAGTTTACACTGCTTCCCAATAGATGGCGCCAGTGTGTTCTCTGGTTTAAGAAGTTTTAAGGAACCCAGGTTTAAGAGGTCGCAAGAATGTGAATGGGCCTTTACGGCAAAGACAGAAAGCTCGCGCAGGGGGCGGAGCTTCTGGTCTCAGCTTAAGGGTGAACGAAGTGTTGGTGATGATAGTAAACGAAGCGGCCAGACTGAATTTATTCCTGGAAGGGAGATACCGGCGCCAACCCCAGATTTAAAAACGTGTGACAGGATTTCAGGTTGATATCTGACGGACGCAGAGCGCATGCTCCGCGAGGCTTTCTCGCCAAGTCGAACTTCAACTCACGGCGATCTGTCGTGACATTGTAAATGAAGAAAAACAACTGTGCCGTGAAATTCTGGTAAGACATTCGCCTAATAATCTAAATGATCTCAGTTCAATTCCCGCCTGGCACAAACGAATTCTTATACCCTTTTATACGGGTACACTTAACTGCAGTAACGCTAAGCCACATTTAGCGCACAATACTTGCCGACAACATACTGCGGCGACGCAGTCAAAGCTATGGGCGAACGTGCGCTTGAGCACCTTGATCATCCATCGAAGCAGTGCACGCGCGCTCTTCACTTCTTATGGAATAGCTGTCCGAGACTATAGTGCGGTATCAGTGGTGCCGCGTAACAGCAGATAAGCTGAGTTAACCGCGGTTAAGTGTGCCCGTGTAACAGGGGTATTACTGAGATTGCCTATCCTCCCCCGTTCCCCACTAAAACTGGTGGCGATGTCCGAAATAGGGGTGTGACGTAACCACTTGGCTCAGCCAATCAGCATTGAGATAAGCGGAGGCTTCGCGAGAATTTTGAAGTGCCCAACATGGCAAATAACGTTTCACGTTGAAAGAAATCCTGTACATCGTTTTACAGTCCGTAGGCAGGTTTTGCTTCTCGGTGTGACACCACGTATCCTCCCAAACGACCCCGGATTCGACATCCTGTGTTGCATACAGCTGGAGAATGGCGGCAGATAAACCGCTCGACGTCGCTCCGTTTTTTAGTGCACTGTGGGCACAGATGGAAAAAACGTAATCAACCAGTTTGAAAGCCATTTACGCACAAAAAAAAAAAATATGTTTACCGTTTTGCGAGAATCTTTTAATTATATTAAACATGATCTGTTGCTTGACGAACTACGGAATATGAAATTTTCCACTATGCTTAGCCCGAAGCTTCCATACATTCCTATTTATTGCAATGCACTATCATCAATGGATCCCCCCTCAGTTGTCGTACATGCATCGTGGTGATTCACAAAGACTAATTCTTGGGACATTGCTTCTTTTTTTTTATTCGTATATTTTAAATATATGAAAGTATCTGTCTTCCGGTGGACTCGTGTGGGACTTTTATTAAAGTCAATTGAGCATTCTACCTTTCAAAAAAATAGTATCCGAGCTCCCTTTTCTGAATAATGCGAAGACAGCCAGTCAAGGCGAAATGGAGAAGGATGCCATAATGCGAATAGCGCAGGCACAAAGAGAGATTGAAGCGTCACACTCCTTGTCCCCGCCCACTTCGCGTTTTCTGGGTAAGTCATATGTCGGGTTTCGTCATTGGCCGGAATCCTCCTCTTCGTCGCTGTGATAGGCTGTCTCCGTGGTCTGCGGTGCGGGGAGATGAGCTCACAGCTTTTTTCGAGATTGTACGCATCAGCTTATTTGCAAATTCTGTGATCAAGTTATAAGGAAAACAATGGTTTTGCACTCCCCCCCCCCCCCCCCACCCCCTCCCCACACACACACACAAAAAAAAAAAGATATTTGGTTGAGCCGGGTTTGATTAGCCCTTGTTTCTGGCAGCACGCAAAAAGTCAAATCCTCTTTGCAGTAAACCAACGAGGGTCCATGGGAAACTAAAAGAATGAGCACGTAGGGACAACTACAGTTTTTGGTCTGGCATTGAGAAAGGGAATATCCTACCTAGCAGGCACGAAATATCTGGAAACCCTGCAGAAATAAAAATAAAATATAGCAGTCCTGTATTGGACATCGGCGTCGCGTTCATGCGCCGCGGGATGCGTGAGCAAAAAAAAGAAGCGTTCGGAACAAGGTAGACATCTGACTAGGTTGCTCCGAACGTTTTTGTTTCTTTTTTGTTCCGGAGCGCGTGAAAGAGCGCCTCCTGGCGCAAGCTCTTGGTGAGCGCGTGCATTGCCATTGGCAGTGGGCTTCGGGTTGTACTAAAATCCTTAAGTATAAAGCGGGTTGTTAAGAGGATATCACAGTAGGATTACATCTCCGATATAAGATATTTACGGATCTGGATGGCTTGGCACAAAAGACACTTCGAAAGCCAAGTCTCTTGTTTTACCCATGGCACTTGTTTTATCCAGAGATTTACGAGTTCGCTCTGTATTATTCGCCTATTTTGTACTCTGATTCTTTCCCGCATTGAGTTTCCAAGTGTGATGTGGAAGTGCTTAACAGCAACCGAAGGAAGTTTTAATGACTAAATGGCGCAGGTTGTTTTACTGTAGCATGAAGTATTTTATGGAGAGATAGGTACATAGCCCCAGCTTGCTATGTTCCTTTAACTCTTCCCTTCAATTTTTACATCGATTTTAGGAGGAAACGTATGATTGGTCGCAAGTTCTCGCCGAACACTGACGCAGCACAATTTAAAGACTGAGTAGCCGCAGTTTTTTTTAGTTTTTTTAACCATTTGTTTTTGAGAATTTTTTCTGATTGTCGGTTTTTGCAAGAAACCTCAGCCTTAAATGTATTGAACGGCTTCTGTGAAAACATTTCTCTCGAGGCAGCCCTTGCTTCAAAGCATTTTGAGCCTGCACGCGAAAGAAAGATTTCTGAGCTTGCACTTCGACGTGCTTCGACCTTATGGAACGTGCTCACACGAAAAAGTAGCGGTCCTTTACATATAATGCAATTCATAATTTTGTTTCTTTCCTGCGTTTTGTGTCATGAGCTCCCTCGCTAGCCTGACAAAAACTCGCAAAGTAAGAAAATGCAAAGATACAAAGCTGAAGGAATACATAATTGGAAATTTGAGCACTTTGGCGAGTTAACTACTGCCGAACTCTCGCGGAACATTTTGCCTGTAATCTTTTTTTAGGTTTTCTGTATGCTGTCACGTATCATCAAAAAGGATCCTCAGTCCGTTTTACATCCTGCGCAGCAGACAACCAGATTCGGATCGACAATTAATACGCTCGACTGTGCTACATGTTCCACCACATGGCGTGCACAGACGAGCACAGTTAATCCTAAAACAAAACAAATAAATCGTATCGCTTTTTTTTTTTTCGCTTGTGTGCAACTCGACGCGTTGCGAGGGGCGCCCTGTAGGTGTTCGGAGCGAATAAAAGAGTGCCCGGGGGGCCATGCGAGCGTCAGTTCTCCTCTCGCGACCCTCGGCACTAGCAGCAAGCATGCCCGTCGACTTGTACAACTCGGCCCTGAGCGCGCCCTGCGCCCTGGTGCGCATGGTGGCCAAGCACATCGGGGTGGAGCTCAACATTAAGGACTTGAACTTTGCCAAGAAGGAACATCTAACCCCCGAGTACTTGAAGGTAATCTGAACTTGTCCGGTCTGGCCTGTAGTTGAATGGAGGGTAATTGCAGTCGCCGATTTAAAGTGCACTTTCTCTCACACTGCACGGCTAACCTTTCGGCCGCCATGACTCAGTTTTAAAGGAGATTCCAAAATAAAATAGCCGGGTCATTGTTTTACCTTTTTTTTTTTTACGCGTGAGTGAATTCGCTTAATTTCAAGGATGCCGCCGCAATCTTGAGCGAAACGCTGAGAGGTTCAGATTCATATTTTGCTCATCATGTTTTCTTTCAGTCCTCATGACGTGGCGGCAATGTTTATCAGACGAGTCACACTTGTGTGATTTCTTCCACTGGAGAAAAACTGTCCTTGCCCTTTTTGCTAGGGAACTTAGTCAGTATTATTTCCCTCCAGATTTTCTTTTTATAATATAGATCAGGGGTGGCCAAGCTTCGGCTCACGAGCCGCATGCGGCTCTTCGCGGTTGCAAATGCGGGCTCGCAGCTCCTTCCCGTGTCCCCAAGACGGAAAGGGTCCTAGAATTTACAAAGAGCTCACAGTCTTCGCAGGCTCGTACTACAATACTTTCATACAGTTGGAATGCTTTTTTACACATATATGTGTTCAGTGAGACTGCTTTTCTTAAAAATATTTTTAAAAAAATTTTTAGCAGAATACGCATAACGGGCATCAGGGGCAGTGACAGACTAGCGAACCACGCATTCATTTTTGCTTAGCGGTTGAAGAAACGTTCTGCTGCCTCGTGTTATTTTTTGCAGTGGACAATTGTACGTGTCTTCTTTAGAATGGACTGTTCCCTCGATATCATTTCTTGTTAAAACTATACCTCCCCCCCCCCCTTCAATTTTTTTTTTTTCTGCGGTCCTGTGAACTTTTGTAGCTTTGTATGCGGCTTTAACCCCATGTCACTTTGGCCACCCCTTATATATATAGTCGAATCGCTCACATCACAGAATATGGGATTTCTTTTTCTCTTTGTTTATACGATTGTATAATTATAGGTCACGCTTCTCAACCGCGAGCAAGCGCTCAGAGAAATGAATGTGTTTCCATTTTTCAGATTAACCCGTTCCACAAGGTTCCCACAATCAACGACGGCGGATTTCTGGTCTACGAGAGGTATCTTGCTAACTTCTTTCCCAGTCCCACCCTTACCGTGTCTTTCTTACGTGAAAGGCAGAGATCCTAAGTTAAACCTGAGAAACGAAAACATTAATTTTAGGGACAACACCCGTGCCACAAGCAGCGCTCTGAAGCAGCAAGAATACGCATGCGCTCGCTCACGTTCCGTTGAGTGCAAGGCCGTTAGAGGGGTACGGAAACAAAACACTAGCTCATATTTCTTTGTTTAGCCAGAAACTACGTTGTGTTAGCATCTTATAAACACCAGGATTCCGCTCGTAAACTCAAGAAAAAAAATTTTAGAACTGATCAAACGATATATTTAATACCACCTGGGCCGGTTTTCTCGAAGCGATGGTAAACCCATTTTGGTGAACCACGGTGCCTAGGAAGGGAAAGGTACCTAGGTAGTGTAATAAACAGCTGGATATAGAACAACAATAATTATTTTTGATTGGGCAATAAGATGCGCCATCTATCGGTGAAACAAACCAGTCATTTTGTTTATCCTCTTTTTTCGCTGGTTGTCATCGATCTAGTATGGTATTTTAAGTCAAAATATAGTAATGTTGTACTTGAAGACCAATTTATTTGCCTCAGATGGTACGAAGAAATTTTAGCTACTATGCTGGAGTTTGTCGACGAATATTCGAAAATGTAAGAAACATTTCCTTCGATATGTTCCGCCATAAACAACGCATAACTTTCCCGTGTTTCTTCCAGTCTGGCAACGCCGCTGCTGTAGTCTCGTTTTCGTTCCTTGCGACGCACGTTTCTGCGATTCCTGCTGATCTCAACTGTTTGCCCTCTCTTCCGTTTGCCCAACCGATTCACCGGTGACGAGAAGCTAAGCTTCTCGTCACCGTTGAATTGCTGGCCACCGGGGATATGTAGAAACCTCGATGCTGTCGGCATAGTGTCGGCGCACTGTGAACAAAAAAAAAAAAAAACAGTACAATGTCTCAGCTGTTCACCCGGAACGAAGACTTTATTGAGGATAACCCCCTTTCTCCGCAAAGTAATCGCTGCTCACGAGTTGGCGTGCATAGTGTAACAAATTAAACGTCTTAGTATAAATATGTACCAACACTCGTTCGCAAAACATTTTTTTTACTCACCATAAAAACACTTGCAAGGCTTATGTACCGTCATATGTCTTGGATCTCGGACTGCTGAAGAGTGATGCGTTCGCGGAATGCTGCCGTCGGTTAGTTTAGTAGTCCCTCTGAACTATTGCTTTGCTTGACCTGCTAATAGGTTGATGGTGAGTCATTAATATAACAGCCATATCGAAATGAATGTTCAGCAGAACCAAGCAAAACTATTAGCCCTCATTAAGCGACGCCGCGGCCATTTTGCTTCTAGGTACTGCTCCTCCCTCCGCGCCCCTGCTCTCCCAGTCACGTGACCTGGAATTCCCCCTTCAAGGGACAATAGTTAACTTTAAACCACGGTTCGCGTTCGAGAAAACGGGCCCTGGTAGTTGGGTGGCCGATGTAGTTGTGACGTTGAATGCCCCAACGCAACTCACGGAAGTACATAGGCAATGTATAGACAACTCGGGGTTGAACAGAATCTCGAAACTTCCACAAAGCTTACGCAACGTGCATTCCATACCCTCAAGATCATCGTCCCTCCCTCTCCCCCCTCCCCCTCTACACACACCTACACCGGGTGAGCAGTGAATAATGCGCTCAAATCTGGCACCCAGGGACTACCTTATATACATAGCTTCTAAGTGTCGTCAGAGCTGGGTGTTGGTGGTCATTGTGACTTTCTGGTTCACTCAAGCTCCTACTTTTGCGGTATGAAACTAACACGGCGAACGGAACGCTTGCGGCACATAAAATAACGTCGTCGCCGCGAATAACGTTGCGGGCAAGCTATATATGTATAGTCCCTAAGGCGTACAGTCCTCGTATATTACTACCAGGCGAGATTTTCACGCGTTGACGCCACCAAGCGGCAATGCTCGCAACTACAGTACCTTTGGCACAGCCGGACTGGGTCCGAGCGCTTCTTTTCCATACGGTCTTTTTCGTCACAAGAGAAAGCAGGTGCATCTTTCTGCGTGGGGACGCTGGCACCGTACTGATAAAGGGGCTTTAACTGTTCTCGCCGTTCCACCTTGCTCACCCTGCTGCTCAAAGAGGTCTGTTTCTCGTGGCCCAATGGTGGATTGCCGTGTCCCGAATCGCACGTCGACATCGGGGAAGCTTCCTGGAGAATCTTTCCGCCATCTGCCCCGCGACGAACCCCTATAGGCACAACGTGAAAAAAGATGACAAGAAAGACCCTTGTTGTCAATTTGTCACAAACGTGCGTGGGCCAGTATGTAAATTTGTTGAAACAACATTAAAAAGACAAAGGACACATCTCATGTGCACACAAAACAAAAAAAAAATATATGTTCGACCGGTTGACAGGCGCTAGGTCCACGCCTGGTGTAAGAATGAGCAGGGGAGGTGACCACAGGGTAAAGGGTAAAATAACAAGATATTTACTAACTTCAAACAACAACAAAAAGCTCTCGCCAAAACCGTAGGCGACGTACACTCGCGAACAAACAGAATAACCCGAAGTGTCGCTCAATACAAGCCGCAGACTCAATGCGCACGGGCGCAACAAAATTCAAGTGATAATAGAAGTCTTATCTGCCGGATCGTCGGTGGTCCAGGAATTGGATGCCTCCTCCGTGGTCTTGGTCCAGTCCGTCGGACGATTTTCTCGGGCACACTTCCTCACGCACTCACACTGCAACACTAGCACAACACAGTACTACACAGGAAACCAACAAAATTCGAAGAAGAACAATGACGTTCCGACGGTGGGCTCCAACCCCGTCGTCTTCACGCCCGCTGGACGGGAGAGCAGCGTCTCCGACTGCTCTCGGGATTCCGTGCCTCTTTTCCCGCCAGTTCACTTCTATTTATAAGCAATAGCAGCATTCTGAAGAAACTTACGTTGACAAATCAGAACCGAGCTTCTTGGCTCCAATCAAAACTCTCAGTTTCGCAAGTTTTTCCCTTTTTCCTTTTTGTTTTTTCCAGGAGAAAAACAACCAACCAAGCAAACAGACAGAAAATTACTTTTACATTTCATCCAGCTTCAACAGCGTCGCTGGGAGGTTTTAGGGGACGTAGTCACCCGACGCCCTCGGTTGGACGCGTAAAGAAAGCGGCCCTTCCGCTAACGAGCCCGTCCCCCGACCGTCCCCCTTCGGCATCCCCGCATGGCGCGACCGAACACAAACCCCACACAAACAAAATAAACCTACGGTCCAGGGTGCGACGCCTACACAAAACGGCTTTAAAGTAAAGAAAACCAGGATGCGGCAAGCTTCCCTTCCGTACATTCGGCATGGCCCAATAAAAGAATACACACACAGAAAGCCTTCAGTTCTCGGTACGCGGCGTACACAAGGCGGAGTAGAGATAAAGATCAAGTCCCCGACTCCCCAGTCGCTTCTTTTCGGGATGCCCGGCCTACCCAGACATACCACCCACACAGGAGAAATGCAGAAAAAACGACAAAACAACATAAAAAAAAGAAGAAATTTTGGCGATTCGTGACACAATTCAACTACCCATCTACTGTCTGTGCGTAAGGTCCTCGATTCCCTTAGTGAAGCATTTAGCCGATTAGTGCTTTGATGGTAATCAAATGAATAGACGAAAGAATGCTCCTTGGTGCGTTGAGCGCGCTGATAGGAAAGTACACAGTAACGAAAGAAATACATAAAAGGGACGACACAGACGACAATCCTTTCGATTTGCAACAGAAACGTTTACTAACTCAAAGCTGGTGGGTTGGAGCCCGACGGAATCGTGCTTCGGGAATCGGGCGTCGGGGAGAGGGCGGGGTGGCTTACCCTTTAGGGAATCCGGAGATTTCGGTGTAGGGCGTTTCGGTGTAGGGCGTTTCAGTGCGGCCTTTTCGGTGCACGGACTTTTCGGTGCACGAGCTTTCGGTGTGGGACGTTTCGGTGCCTGGACAATTCAGCGCGCGGATATTTCGGTGCATGAACTTTTAGGTGTGGGACGTTTCGGTGCGTGGACATTTCGATGCGCGGACTTTTCGGTGCACAACATTTCGGTGCACGGTAAGTCAAAATCAAGAGTTGTTCTTTTTTTCTCTCTCTCTCTTTAAAAGTAGTAAGCACTATTTTAGCCAAACATTATTTTTTACGCAATTTATAACTGTGTAGACATGGTCATTCATTTACGGTCACTTACACATATACAACCTAACTGACTTTGTTAGGTGCTGCACCATCCAGTCGGAATACTGAAGACGTTGGACGGTTATGTCTTGTTTGCCGGTGACTCTTTTCCAACGTACGCACTATACGGATCATACCGTGTTTACGCATCAGAGTGATACAGGCGCGCGTTCTCGGCGTCTTCAGTAAAAGTATCGTTTTTATTCTTGGTAATCTCTGAGGAAAGGCCCCAAAAGCAAGAAGCTTGAGAATGTTGACAATTACCCGAGGCTGTGGTAAAAGAAGAAAGAGAAACTTCGTGGAACTTTGAGAGGTCGATGAGTTTTTGTTCATTCAGAATGGCGGTGGTTGGTTTGGTCCACTCAGTGTAGGAGCAAGGCCGTATGTGGTAGGGGAGGTTGCGGATTGCGCCTCGCTCTCCGGCGCGGATTCCGCGCAGTCCCACACGAGATGGGAGCAGGTGGCAGGAACGCCGCAGTGTTCGCAGTTCGGATCGGGGCCGACGTCGTCTGGATCCGTCGGATGGTGGATTCTTGACAGCCAGTCTGGCGTCAGCACCGTCTTCGTTTGGAGTCGGTTGAGGGCCACCCGCTCCCATCGCGGAAAGCTGCTCGGAATGCGGTGAGGGTTGGGCGGCAGGAGAGTAGCGAGTCGCGCCTTGACGTGCTGCTCGTTCTTCGCGTTTGACCTCGGAAAGGTCAAAGTCGGCAGTGTCCTCAGGTACCTTCCGAGGACTAAGCGGAGGAACCGGGCCTTGTGAGGGCTGTTTTGCTTGTAGCTGTGCCCTCGCGGCCCCATTCGCCCTCTCGTTCCCAGGGGTGCCTTCGTGGCCTGGCAGCCACGCGACAGTGATCGTTTGGTCGTCCTTCACTTTGCGCACCAGTGTTCGAAACTGTGCGACCACGGCGTTAAATGTGTCCGTGCGACGCAACTCGCGGAGTGCCTCTTAAGAATCTTCTAATCATCGTCATTTTCACTTCCCTTCACCCTTTCCCCCCGCCTACTCTGAGGCCTTCAGGCCAGAAGGCGGCATCACAATAAACGTTTTTACAATACAATACTTTGAGACGCCCTTCTTCCTGTGTCTTCTTTCTTCCATGACGCTTCCCATCTTTTACTACAGTCTCGGGTAATTTTATTGAGTTTTATTTGTTGATTTATATTACAAACCTTGCGACGCGTGACGGATAGGAGTTACTTTAATTTCTCCTGTCAGGTATGCTAAACAATCGATGCTATACGATTTCGCAATAAAAACACATTTGAAGACATTCCAAATTGTTCTGAGCTACCAGACATAAACAACTTATCAAGCTTTACGAAAAAACGGTGAGTGTGCAGGCGAGCTGCTGGACGTTGATCATATTCAAAATAGCCCGAGACTGTGGTAAAGGATTGGAAACTCCGTGGAAGGAAAAGGACACAGGAAGAAGGACGTCTCAAAATTCCGCGAAATTTCCTAACTTTTACTCGGGTCATTTTAGACATTCTCAAACTTCTTGCTGTTGGGGTCTTTCCTACACGGATTAAGAATAATAGAGCTAAGAACGCCTCTCTCGAACTAACGCGTAAACACGATGTGATATGCGACTAGTGCGTACTTTGGAAAAGGGACACCGACAAACGAACCACAACGTCTAACGTCTGCGCCTAACAAAGTCACTTAGGTCGTATATCAGTAAGTGACCGTAAATGATTGACCAATGCTATAAAATTATAATTTGTGAAAAAAAATTAATTTTTAGCTGAAGCTTAAGGCCCGTTCACACTGTTGCGACCGAGTACGACTGAGAGAGACGAGATCTCTTACAACTTCTTAAATGTTTCTAGAATGATGGGACACACTGGCATTGTGGCGCCATCTATGCGGTGACCCTAGAACTGCATTTCACAAGAGCGAAGGTTTTGCGGGATTTCCGAGGTCAAATGTGCGTAATACACATAGAAAGGCTCGTTTATAACATTGACAAAAGTTTTTCGAGCCAAAAAAAGAAAGGATATTGCGCGAGAAATAAAAAAAAATATGCCAAACCGCCGAGTTTACACTGCTTCCCAATAGATGGCGCCAGTGTGTTCTCTGGTTTAAGAAGTTTTAAGGAACCCAGGTTTAAGAGGTCGCAAGCAGTCGCAAGAGTGTGAACGGGCCTTTAGAGAAAACTAAAAAAAAAATTGTGATTTTTGTTGGCTCTGCACTGGAAAGGCTGTGCACCGAAAAGTTCGTACACCGAAGCGTCCGTACACCAAACAGCCGATCTTGAAGAGGGAGCTAGAGAGCTAGCGGCCACGTCCTCCCTTTTCTGTACCCCTTTAAACGGTATTTGCATTCAATTTTCTCTTAGCGAGATCCTTAGAGTCACTATTTTTGTTTTCATCGAGTTGTAGGTCAGCCCGATGTCATTCGAGTGCGCGGCGTGGTGGCAAGCGCGCGCAACTATCGCGACTCCAAAGCACCAGATGTGTGATATTAAAAAAACACAACAGAAGATTAAACTACAACTAAAGCGGCAATCCGAACATAAGCATTTCGCATGGGGTTTTTCGCTCTCCCTCAACTGATTATTTTACTTCCGATTTTTCTTTTCTCCGGAGGAATCCCGTATGAGACAAGTAGCTCGAAGTCCAGCCCACAGGCCCGTCACATTGCTAGCCTACACAGACGGCTACACACACGTTTATCAATAACGATCAACGCAACAGAATTGTTCCTTTTGTAATTTAAAATTAAGTTCTTGATGACTTCTTATAGATTAGAGGCTTTTAGACTCGCTCCTTGCCATGTTTCCGTGGATCAATTTCAGTAAAAAAAAAAAGAAGAGCAGCCCTAAAAAGGTCGGAGGTGCCTTTAAGCTTCAGCCGCCTTCTCTAAAACCAAAAATTCTGAAAAGCCGAACGCTGAAGAGAGCACTGTTGAGTAAGGTGACAAGATTCCAACACATCCGACCATTCTCCACGCAGCACGGCCGTCTGCCTCTACCTGCTGAACAAGTACGCCCCGGGTAGCGACCTCTACCCTAAGGACCTGCAGAAGCGCGCAAGGGTAGACCAGGTCCTGGCCACGGTGACCAGCTTCGTGCAGCCTCACTACGCGCAGTTCTACGTGAGTTAGGGAGTCTACTTATCTCTCGCTGAACAGTTCCCATGTGGTCAGCTTACAAGACAAAATTACTCGAGAAATCTTCGAGGCTCGTGAAATTGGACGATTAGGACAACAGTGCGTTAGCGCACACTCATTGTCGTTGTCAGATAAAGAATTGTGTTCGTATAAAGGAGTGGAAGAGCCAGTGCAATGCTGTAGATGGCATGTAGGCTGTACACGGATTTTAACCTTTTAGTTTTTGTGTTGGTTTGTTTTTTACCTGGCGTGTTTTCTTGGTGTCGATAGTATTTACACCGGTTGCCAACAAGAATGAAGCTTCAGTTATAAGTAGCGCCGTGTTTGTGTCCCTCCATTGTCCTCGGTTTTTGCACTAAACGAAAAAGTTTAAAAAACTGCTTCCACGGTTTTACACAGTGGTGGCCGGTCAACGTTTTACTGCGTTGCTGGGGCTTGCGTTGAGATACGACTGCCAGTTACCACGGCAATTGAGCGACACAACTCGATTTCAACTTTCACGTCATCAAGAGCAAAGTAAACGCAGTCAACCACTACTGCGTGGACGTGCCCTTACTGTCACTATAATCAGGAATCTTTGTCGGAATACTATTGGATAGTGTAGCTTACTTGCATATTAAAACAGCAATAAATGTGAATAGCTGCACAGTGAATTTTGATAGCTGTTATGATAAACTTGTCTAGGCCCCGATCAAAAACAAGTTATCGCTATCTTTGCCTTTCTAGAGAAATTCCATTATGCTAATGAAGAAGCCCACGGCACAGCAAGTCCAGGACCTCGAAGAGACTGCCCTCAAGGGCTTGGAGCATCTTGCGGGCGACGGCCAGTTTGCCGTGGGGGATGCGCTCACCCTGGCAGACCTCACCCTGGTGGCGCACCTCAGCTTCACTATAATGGTGAGATGCCTCCTCCGAACCGAACACGTCGTCCGACGCACTCCAGCTTTGCACAGGGCTCGGGCCTTCGTTGATGCAAAGCCGCTTTTTGTCATGCTAAAGACACGGCGTCCGCTGCAGGCGTGACGACAGAACTATCTGCGCCTCAAGCATCTTCGAAGCATGCTTGAGGCGTACGTTTGCAGACTGTCCTTTGCGTGATGCATTCGCAGTGTGGCCTTCGTTCGAGTGGCTGCCCCACGATTCGGCCTGCTGGACATTTAGAACCATTTTTAGAGCGCAGCTCTTAGAGGCCCGTTTCCAGCCTGAGCGGCGTCGGCGTCGGCGTAACCGGGGGGGGGGGGGGGGGTCACGTGACCTCGGGGGTCACGTGACCCCCCCCCCCCCCCGAGGTCACGTGTCCCCCCCTCCCCGAGATCACGTGACCCCCCCGGGGTCACGTGACTACCCGCAGATGATGTGACCCACCTCAGTACCCTTCCCTACTCCTCCTCAAGAGCTGCGCTCCAATTCGGCGTTCCAGGGATTTGTAAACGGCTTTCATTTTTTAATCAACATCGTATAAGATCACGAGAATAATGAGGAAGCATGTCTATTCGGTCAAGAATTTACGGACCAGTGCTTTTGGTTAGAAAGATGAAAGGTTTCTTATTGTCGCTGGGCATCCAATGAGAGTGTGACGTCATCCAACGAACAAATCATAAAGCAAAGAAGAGTGAACAGAGGAAGACAGTCGTTCTAAAATGGAGCAAGTGTTGAGACCAAGCCCAGACACCAATACGAGGTTGCCTAGCTATGTGTGTGCAAGGAAATGACGGCATGTCGTGGGTCTGTTTCAAAGCTCCCTTACATCAGCGTTGTGACGGCGCGTCTTTGAGCGTCAAGCTCCCATTATACTGACAAACAATTACAGGAAGATTCATTGGTGGATTCTTAAGGAAAGCGTTAGCATGACCCTTGGGAACGCCACACAGGTCCACCTTCAGGAAACGCTAACGTTGAACCCTTCAATATGTTTCTTTTGGCTTTTTCTTTTATTTCTATTTTTGGTTGCCTCTTTTTGGCCGTGTTATGGTATCATTGTTAGCGTTTCCCAAAAGGGGACGTGTTTGGCATTTCTCAAGGGTCATGCTAACGGATTCCTCAAGACTCCACAATGCATCTTACTGTTTCTTTTTTTTTTTTTTTTCTTTTTTTTTTTACCCCTTTTTTGTACTCTGCCTGTCAGAGTACGTCGACGCTCTTCGATACGGTCATCCATATCCCATACCAATCGTGGAAGGAACCGCGTCCATATCACTCGTAACGTGAACCGCAGCGATCGTTTTAACTACACACACATATCGCAGCCCACATACCGCTACTACGGAAACCCAGAGCGAATAAAAACAGGTGACGGCAAAGCGGCAACTGTGCACGCGTGCTGCGCAGAGGCGTCACAAAGGCGGGGTAAAAAGGGAGGGGCTGGGGGAAGGGCGGGGAGGGGCGGTCCGCTGTAAGTGCAGCGTGCAGCGGGGGTGCAGCTTGACAGTGAAAGAGGAGGGGGGGGGGGGGTTGTCGCGGGGGGCTACCGGCCTGAGTGCTGCTGACTATTGGGACGCCACTGCGCTCGCATTCCACCGCGCCGCGGCGCATCAGCTGCTAGATAACAAAATCGTAGTGCTGAATGAGATGGCGTCATCAGGGAAGGCCCACGCTGGGCCCAGATTGGACACAACGTTTACGTCAACGTTCGGCTCGAAGTTCAAACTTTGACTCGAAGCCGAGCACCGACGCAGCACTCGTTTCCAATGTGCGTGCAGCGTTGGCCTTCTTTGGTGACGCGACCTCATTCACCACTAGGGCTTTGCTATCTGGGGGGCGTTGCGCGGCACCACCCCTTCTTTGGCTCCGCGCCATCTGTGCGCGTGACTTTGACGAAAACGAAAGGGCTCGTTTTGACGAAAACCCGGCGGCGTCTGTCAGTTTGTCAGCTACAGGGAGAGAGGAAGTAGGAGGGGAAGAGGTTGACTCGTGCTGACGTCAGCGCTTGGGACCAATAGGAGCTTCGTACGCGTCACCTTCGCCCCCTCCTTCTCCCTCTCTCCCTGGACCTGACAAACGAAATACACCGCCAGGTTATCGTCAATCCAGCGCCCTAATGCTAACACATAAACAAAAACAAGCCAGCTATGCTCGGTGTTTATAAGGTTCAAGGTCGTAGTACGCAGTTACCGCCAGCCCAATAATCTCCGGACGTGTCCTGAGCGTCTTCTGATCGTTCGGCAGCCAATGAGAATGCAGCATAAACTGATAAGAGCGTTGAAGAACGAATTATGAAGGGTGTGGACATATTACGACAAGTCCTGCGTTTCTTTAAATGTAAGTGACGGAAGAATGTGCGGAATAACCAGCGGTCAAAGTCTCGTGGTGTACCACTTCGTTCTGTAAGGGAATCGCGCGAATGGGCTTGAAAGCGGAAAGTGGCGTTACTGCTCTTTTGTAGGCAGCACGTCTATACACCCCTCAGGGAACGTCCGCGACACTCCGGTGGTTTTGCGGAGTTTAATGAGAATGTCCATGTCGGGAATCCGATTCGATGTGATACTCAGACAGTGTCGTTTTCTTCCATTACAGCTGCCCGTTTTCGACCGCAAAAAATTCTCTAAACTGGTTTCCTACTACGAACGTGTGACAGCTAAGCTGCCGCACTTCGCTGAGACCAAGACTATCACCGAGGGGCTGGTGCAGAAATGGCCGGCCTTGAAGTGAAGACCAAACCCGAGCTTTACTCTGACCATCCAACTCGGAGCTGCTCTATTTCGGAATAAAATCACGATGTGATCGTCTGGTAGCCAAGTTCTTTACTGATTCCACACAAATACAGACGAGGTGAGGAAAACCACGATGTTCCCCTTGTGAATGTCCAAGCACAAGACGGACTGCGGACTTCAACATTTACTTTATACGTCGGAGAAGTGTCGCTTCACGCGCCCTGGGTAGCTAAACTCGTGGAGCAAAACATTCTTCGCTTTTTGACGTAGCGGGGGGAGTAACCAAAAGAACGTCGCAAAGTTTCCTCCTCCCTGCGCGCGCTCAACTTCGCAACTTTTGACGAAAAATCCCTCCCCCGGTCCCTAGGTGGTGCACGAGAGCACGAGACAGCGCGGGGAGGCGAGCGTTCACGCTGATCGCTGTACGTTGTCTTTGAGCTCTCTAGCGCCGACAATCCCGTCATGCCTCGCCCAGGCAAGGGGCGAGCACAGACGACGAAAGTTTGTCTGCTACGATGTGGCATTCCCACAGCGGAACTGAAAGAAAATGTTGGTTTTCTGCTCGAAATCTTGTCCCGCGGGCCACAAACTCAAACGCGAGCTTGAATTGTAAGCGTCTGATATTTCACGAAGGGAGGAATCGACGACCCGTGTTTTATTTGCAAAATGAGTCGTTTTGTTGCCGTACAGACGCTGAAACCTACCAGTGTGTAATGGAAGGCCCAGGCCAAACACAGAGGCCGCGAGATCTCACATCATCTGTGTGCGCGTGAAAAGTGGAACATTTTTCGACAAAGCTCCCACAGCAGAAACCTGTGACGCATTCACTCAGCGTTCGGGAAGGCTAAACATGGAGACGTTGCCCGATGCTCAAGCAAAGTCATATTTGAACGGCAGCTGTCTTGCCCCGTCGTATTTTGTTTTGAGAAAGCTCTCGTGCTCAGTGCCCTCACCAGGGAAATTAAAATTCTTACGAAACGTAATGCTAGATGTTCCAAAAATCCTTTCAGTGGTTCACTTATAATACTATGCTTAAAACGAAGCAAGCTCTTGCGCGTACAGTGTCATCAATTTTCTCAAGTGTATGCTGTTTTGTAGTCGGCTTGTTTCGGAAATTTACGCCGTCTGTAGATATCTCTGACAGCCCAGTTTCTTAATTGGAAGTCATCGCAAATATAAATTACACGTTGCAGCAACGAACGTTTATAAATAAACGATGGCAGCGACTGGGCGCTCTCGTATTCCCACCCATCACGTCGAACAAAAAGGCGCTAGTTTCGGCTTGAGGTCGGTACTTTTCTACAACATCTATGGCGACAGCATCAGTCTGCACTCGGTGCATTCGGCAAGTTCTTTCCGGGCCTGTTCTCCGTGCAGCACTCCGCGGGTGCAATGCATTAGAACTCTCACTGTGCTAGTCTGGATCGCGGATCGGGAGCCCGTCACTGGCCTCACCGGCTGTCATTGCTTGACAACAGGCAATACGCCGCGTCCTGTCTAGTTCTCCCTTCGTTTTCGTCCTTGTTGTTTTGGCTTATTACAGCATGAGGCAATACACGCAAGTCTAACGGAGAAACAGGCAAAAATTGGAAGCTTGTACGCGGTGCTCGGGGGCGAGCATTTTATGACGTGTTGCGATGATTATATCGGGTTCTTGGAGATCAAATAGACATTCGTCAAACGTTCGAACATCGATTTAAAAAAAAAAAAAACGGGCCGGAGCACCACCGGCTTTACTGACGTCGCTTGCTTCGGTTGCTAAATAAATGGCACGTTCAACGATTGAACGGCACGCTTCGAGTTTCAGTTTGACACGGAAGCCCTCACAGCAGTTCAAAGAAAAAGCTTTCACCATAAAGTACTATGTACAAGCCGTTAAACCGATGCGAATGTCCCCAGTAAAGGCCATCTAACTTATCCTTTGCTGAGCTTTGATGACTCCGAAATCACGGATGAGTCCACAATAACTCTCGGTAGCCCTTGTCTCATTAAACACATCACAGTTAACGCCCAACAAAGTCGCCCTCGACCCTCAACCACACAACATTTAGTTAAACAAGATTGGTATTCTAACGCGTTTAATATTCTTGCCCACAATATTAACTCTTATTTGCGGAAACACGATATACGTTTCATGGTAGAGAACAATCTACTAACGTAATAAAATTGAGTTTTCCCGTTCCTCCTATAGCATGCATAAGATCGTGTCAAGCGACGACTGCCGGTGGTGCCGCTCGACCCCAGCAATACAGGCTTCTATCCGCGATCTAGTCCCCTAAGAAATCAGTGGTGCCAGTGCTATTAGACATAAATCGTTTATTTGCATCGGTGCACCCATACCTGCCGGATGTCGGGACGAGGCGCAAAACCGTACATCCGGCCAATATTGTAGACGGTTTTCGGCCGAAACTGCCTCGACACTCGCCAAGAAGCAACGTGCTGTTTCGGCGACTCGTTTGTGTAATTTATTTGTTCAGTCATATTATTGGGTCCTGGGCCACTGTGTACACCCCAAAAAAGAATTGTACTGTGGTAATTACACCTTGACGAGAAGCAGGCACGTAGCCAGAATTTTGCTTAAGGGGGGCGGCGCCCATGACAAAGTCCTCTATGAGGGGGAGGGGGGAGAGGGGGCCCAAGCAAAATGGAAGATTTCGGGGAAGTGGGGGGGCCGGGCCTTATGCCCCCCCCCCCCCCTGGCTACGTGCCTGACGAGAAGGGGTATTGTAGTTTTACATCTTTATAAAAAGGTGTACTGCATTATCACACGTTTTAAGGAACGTGTTTAAAAATCACACATTTTGAAAGGTGTGAGGTTTACATTTTTATAAGGTCTATTGCTACACTTATTAGGGTGTTAGTTATGGGACACCCCACTTAAATGTATAGCCTGACGAGAAGGAGTATTGTAGTTTTACATATTTATAAAAAGGTGTAGTGCATTATCACACGTTTTAAGAAACGTATTTAAAAAATCACATATATTTAAATGTGTGAGGTTTACATTTTTATAAGGTATATTGATACACTTATTAGGGTGTTAGTTATGGGACACCCCACTTAAATGTATAGCCTGACGAGAAGGAGTATTGTAGTTTTACATCTTTATAAAAAGGTGTAGTGCATTATCACACGTTTTAAGAAACGTATTTAAAAAATCACATATATTTAAATGTGTGAGGTTTACATTTTTATAAGGTATATTGATACACTTATTAGGGTGTTAGTTATGGGACACCCCACTTAAATGTAGAGCCTGACGAGAAGGAGTATTGTAGTTTTACATATTTATAAAAAGGTGTAGTGCATTATCACACGTTTTAAGAAACGTATTTAAAAAATCACATATATTTAAATGTGTGAGGTTTACATTTTTATAAGGTATATTGATACACTTATTAGGGTGTTAGTTATGGGACACCCCACTTAAATGTATAGCCTGACGAGAAGGAGTATTGTAGTTTTACATCTTTATAAAAAGGTGTAGTGCATTATCACACGTTTTAAGAAACGTATTTAAAAAATCACATATATTTAAATGTGTGAGGTTTACATTTTTATAAGGTATATTGATACACTTATTAGGGTGTTAGTTATGGGACACCCCACTTAAATGTATAGCCTGACGAGAAGGAGTATTGTAGTTTTACATATTTATAAAAAGGTGTAGTGCATTATCACACGTTTTAAGAAACGTATTTAAAAAATCACATATATTTAAATGTGTGAGGTTTACATTTTTATAAGGTATATTGATACACTTATTAGGGTGTTAGTTATGGGACACCCCACTTAAATGTATAGCCTGACGAGAAGGAGTATTGTAGTTTTACATATTTATAAAAAGGTGTAGTGCATTATCACACGTTTTAAGAAACGTATTTAAAAAATCACATATATTTAAATGTGTGAGGTTTACATTTTTATAAGGTATATTGATACACTTATTAGGGTGTTAGTTATGGGACACCCCACTTAAATGTATAGCCTGACGAGAAGGAGTATTGTAGTTTTACATATTTATAAAAAGGTGTAGTGCATTATCACACGTTTTAAGAAACGTATTTAAAAAATCACATATATTTAAAAGTGTGAGGTTTACATTTTTATAAGGTATATTGATACACTTATTAGGGTGTTAGTTATGGGACACCCCACTTAAATGTATAGCCTGACGAGAAGGAGTATTGTAGTTTTACATCTTTATAAAAAGGTGTAGTGCATTATCACACGTTTTAAGAAACGTATTTAAAAAATCACATATATTTAAATGTGTGAGGTTTACATTTTTATAAGGTATATTGATACACTTATTAGGGTGTTAGTTATGGGACACCCCACTTAAATGTATAGCCTGACGAGAAGGAGTATTGTAGTTTTACATATTTATAAAAAGGTGTAGTGCATTATCACACGTTTTAAGAAACGTATTTAAAAAATCACATATATTTAAATGTGTGAGGTTTACATTTTTATAAGGTATATTGATACACTTATTAGGGTGTTAGTTATGGGACACCCCACTTAAATGTATAGCCTGACGAGAAGGAGTATTGTAGTTTTACATATTTATAAAAAGGTGTAGTGCATTATCACACGTTTTAAGAAACGTATTTAAAAAATCACATATATTTAAATGTGTGAGGTTTACATTTTTATAAGGTATATTGATACACTTATTAGGGTGTTAGTTATGGGACACCCCACTTAAATGTATAGCCTGACGAGAAGGAGTATTGTAGTTTTACATCTTTATAAAAAGGTGTAGTGCATTATCACACGTTTTAAGAAACGTATTTAAAAAATCACATATATTTAAATGTGTGAGGTTTACATTTTTATAAGGTATATTGATACACTTATTAGGGTGTTAGTTATGGGACACCCCACTTAAATGTATAGCCTGACGAGAAGGAGTATTGTAGTTTTACATATTTATAAAAAGGTGTAGTGCATTATCACACGTTTTAAGAAACGTATTTAAAAAATCACATATATTTAAATGTGTGAGGTTTACATTTTTATAAGGTATATTGATA